TAGAAATGTACCATATGTTCACGAACAGTCTGAGAAAATCACTTGTTTCTTGGAGAAACTGCTTCAAAATCCAAGACCTTGTCTAAAGTAGACTTAGATTTATATTTCTATTTGTACTTTCACTATTTGACTGCAGTGGCACCATATGGTGGGACTAATATCAACTGAGCCCCAGAAAATGGAAAATACATTCAGTACTAGTTGCAAATTCTAAGGTTCTTTTTCTACGTAACATATACTTCAATATGAAAGACACAGAAACAAGCAATTTACTTGACCAGGCTGAAGTACATACATTTTGTATAACATTTATGGCAGGTATAATCCGTAGGAAGTAAAACGTCATAGTAAAAACATTTGTCATCTTGGTGGGATGAAATGATGAAAGTTCAAACAAAGAACTTTTGTTTATTCTGCAGGCAATATAACACTGCATTATTTCGCTTCTGTGCTTTTATTAGTATTCAAAGAGAATACTCAGTCAGTATTGCCACGATATAGAGTTACATGTAGACTATAGATTCTGACGAAAGAATTAATTAGCATAAAATATTTTTACCAAATCCTCCTATCCCCTTATAGCTTATGGAGGCCTGGTGGAGGCTACTATCTTTGCCAAATTCTACTATCCCAGCCCAACCCCCTTTAGCCTTAGGAGGGCCTGGTGGAGGCTACTATCTTTGCCAATTCTACTATCTAACCCCCTTTGGAAAGCCTGATGGAGGCTAAACGTGAAGTCCAATATAATGACATGTCCATCAAGACCAACTCACTCATCACCACAGACAGGATGAAAACAAACAACGGAAGGGAAGCCCGTCTATACAGGGGAAGTAATTGTGGCGAGTCAGCCTTTGTAGGACATCCGGCAGCCTATTGTTTCCCTTTGTAGGTGGTCTGTAGTCTCTATTGTTCTTCCTTCACGTGCTGAAACAGTGCTGCATGGATGAAAAATCACCTGGGGTGGATCTGGTGATCTTTGTAGAGATAAGGAGGGGAAAACAGGTGGCACGGAAGAAGTCTTGGGACAGGTTGGGGTTCTAAGAAAGAGATGTACACCTTATGATGTATCATTAAGATCGTTAAGATGCCTCTTCTTTATGTTTTGTTGAATGTATGATGTGGAGTTTTTTTGATGTTACACATTATTTATAGATCATTTAGATTACTTGTAATTTAAGTGTACAAAGGATCTAGAGACCATTGAATTGTCAGAACAAAATACTTCAGACTGAGAATATTGACTGCGAGTTGTTTGAAAGTTTTATTTAGAGTAAATGAATAACTTTTCAGGTCAAAATGAAGAATCTGTGGATGTATCTAAGAAAACGAAGAAAATTTCTTATGCTTATTTGCTAAAATATGACTCCATATTGGAATTAGAACTGACCACAGTTGAACAGGAATTCTAAAAAAAGTTTTTTCTCTGTTGGTGACAATACCTGTACCTTACATTTTTTTACAATCTTACAACTATATGCCAGTTTAAAAAAGTTTGCAAGCTCTCATAATCAAGTTTTGAAAACATGAAAGCATGTTTCCGAATGTAAACATTTATGCAAACACACATTACAATGCTGAACGAACTGAAAAGAATCAGATATACACTATTTATCAACAAATACACACTGATACTATCAATTAACTTTTCTGTATAGTACACATCATATCATAGTGGCAAAATAAACATAGCAAAGAGGTAGCAAGGCGAAACCTTTGTCTAGTTTTTGTTGTATAAATGCATTGTTCGGAAGTACCTTACATAGAAAGAACTTTAACAATGTTGGGATATGTTGCCCATGTAATTATTTCCAGGTAAAGGAAGTATTGTTTTGGGTGGCTGAGCACATGAGTTTGTTTGTCTGTGTGTCCAGAGTAGGTTGACCACGTGGGTAGGTGAATAAGAAGGGGTCAAAAGTCTCATTTGGACTCAAAGATGAGAATTACTTTCCTGGAATCTTCATCTTTTTTTTAAACAGAAAAATGAATTTCATGTCTCTTCATTGAATAAGATTGCTTGTTTCTAGCAAGGTTTGAGCTTAGGATAACATTTGAAATTGATAATGATGAACGTTTTTGTGACAAGGTGTCTTTCGAATCATATTCTTACATCGTGGACTATTCATACAGTCATACGTCATACAAATCCAGTTTTGGCCGGTCAAATTTAGTCGCACAACTGTCTCTATTGAGTCAATAGTCAAATTTCATTCCTATTAGTCTTTTACCTTCCTAATCTTGCATGTACATGTATATATCCAATACAAATCCAGTTTTGGCCAGTCACATCCAGTAGAAGGGGGACTTATGCTGACTAAGTTTAAATATGAGAATCCCAACAAATTACATTGTTAAAGTGCATTTTGTTTAGACATCTTCTTATCTTTCAAATCATACTTTTACATTGTAGATTATGTTATACAAATCCAGTTTTGGCTAGTTGTGGCCAGTCTGTCAATGCTGCAGCCATCCACAGTAGAGGACCTGCATGGGAGCGTAGTGATTACGAATTTTCATCGCCAACTAAGAATTACGTTAAATTCTCAGAGCTGATTACGACTTTACGCTTTGCGGCTAATGTACTACCACAAATTATGCTGATTTTTGGGGGGGCTGCCTACGGATTACGAAGACTAAAAAGGCCTGATTACGCCCTACGAAAAAGGGCTTGCAGGCCCCCACAGTAGAGTTCGAAGGGGGACTGCACTGTTAGAGATGTGAGAATCCCCATCCCGTGGCCTCTTCGCTTGAGCAGTGCGTAGGTGGCGTCCGCCCACACACTGTCGCTGGGCAAACAATGCACAGGTGAAACTTTTATGACCTGGCTGAGATCACTTCCCTTACATGCACTTTCGTTACATAAGCTATTGTACGAAACCATGGGAAAGGGGGGGGGGGGTTCAGGAGATGTGCGGAACCGAAATTCTGTTGACTTTGCATCACAAGCCAACGGTTTACAGTATCTTTGAGCTTGCAGTTGGAACGATAGCGGTAACAAAAACATTTTTTTTTGCTGTTCACAGACACACATATGGACCACAAAACATAACAATCTTGACAAATACCATAGCATGTCCAGGACATATACAAAAACTGGAAGTACTTCTGCAGTACCAAGGAAAGCAGCTAGGAGACAAACATCTTCTGGCCCTCATAACCTTCTTTGCAAAGGCAACGATACCTCTATGAGCCCAATACTACTTTGTTGTAACTATGTAAGTACAAGTGTGACAGGGAAACACCTGCAAAGCCCATCATCAGTTGGCCTTGTATACCACCAGGAGGGGAGGCGGTTTCTCCCTGTGGTACCAACCCTCCTGCTACACCCCACCACACCCCGCCCCTCCCAGCCACACAATGAACACACTGTCAGTCTCACCAACCTCAGGGGGGAGGCAAATGCCCCGTGAAATTTGTATTTCCTTTACACAGCTCTCTTACATGGGTGGCTGGGGTTTTAAAACAGTGGCCAGCTTTCATGTGATGGCAGCCCACAATGGCAGTGGTTATGTTAGAGGGTCAGGGCTTCTTGTACAACCCATGAAGATGTAGGAATCCCACACTCTTTGCCCCTGAAAGAGACAGTGTAACACCCCAGGGCAAGTTTAAACACACTTTGAAGTTCACATCGCTGAAGGATGGATGTCTTAAAGTTTCTGCCAGGAAACTGTAAATTTCTTGGGTAAGAACTTGTTTTATCACAATAAAAACATTAACATTCTGCCATCGGGAACCAAATTTCTAAATTCAGTTCACAATGTATGGATAGAACCCAAAATACATATGAGATTGTGTCATAATGTTATAATTTTACATCTACATACCTACTAAGCTTGGAAGGGATATTCCTATATATTCTTGACATCCAAGGCTATTTAAAGCAATAAATTGTATCAGTAAGAATACTGAGATCAATATTTGTAATAGATGATAAACAATGATGACCTTAATACTGTATACAAGTTTTACAACCCCTACGTGATAATAACATAAATGTGTAAATATAGATATCATTCTGTTAATGTTAGTAAGGAACACACATGAACTTTGTTGCTTACTCTAAATTAATTGATCTCTAATGCAGGTTTGAGCTGAGGAGGTCAAACGTGCACACAGTCATCAAAACACATAAAATGAGAAATTTTAGTGTAATTCTAGTGACTGCAATCAACCGCAAGGTTAGATCTTGAATGTAATGTAAAATGGTAACTACACATCAACATGTATGCTTTTGATCTTTGTACAACATGTTATGGATATTCTAAATGAACAGATCAACAAAAACAAGCAAACAAGACATACATGTCCTTCTCCATTCCCAACCATAACTTTCTTTGAGTGCTTTTTCTTCGTGACACGTTTTCTGCCTAGGTTTTGCTGAGTATTTTGCTTCATTTCATGACAAAAATAAATAAAAACAGAATCAACAAGTAAAATCTGAGATTTTATACCTCCGGGCTTTTTATTGTATTTTTATACAGGGTTTTAAACAAAGAATTTATCGAGACTGGACACCCCTCTGTGTGAGGGGTCATATACGTGGACCAGATCGAGAATAGCTTAAACACGCCAAAGGTCAACGGTCGCGACCACTTTCACGCTCAAAGGGGTGTTTTGGGGCCACCAAAAGGCACCATTTTCACGCCCGAAAACACATATACAATAAAAACAAAAGAACGTGCATCATCTGCAGCCCAATAGCAAAACATATACCGAGTCTCAAAAGAATCCGTCCACCCAAACGCGAGAAACAGCTGCGAACATGAAAATCTAAATCTCTCACAAAACCCTTCCGCGGAAGGATGTCTCCTCCCCCGGAGGTAACAAGCTGTACCTTTCCGAGCCATGACTTTCTCTGTGCAGCTTTTTTCCTCTTGATGGCCTCCATGAGCCTACGCTGTCCCAGCTTGCCCATTCCCACCTTCTCTAGGTCCTCCCCCTTCACGTACTTAACTTGTTTTCAAGGTAAATATAAACAAAAACAACTAAACAAATCCTACCTTTCCCAGCCATGACTTTCTCTGCGCAGCTTTTTTCCTCTTGATGGCCTCCATCAGCCTGCGCTGCCCCGGCTTGCCCATCCCAACCTTCTCCAGATCCTCCCCCTTCACGTAGTCGAAGTGGGACAGTCTGGTCACGTGCAGCTCGTCCCGAAGCTTCGGCAAGAACTGCTCCAGCTGCACCTCCGCCAGCAGCTCCCCCAGCCAATCAGGGCTCTCGTCTGCACTCATGGCGCCGCGCTCGGGCTCAGCTACCAGCACCGGGAATTCTGGGATAGAGAACACGCCATATTAGGGCGACGGTAATTTAAATTTAGATCATGGGAAGGAGAATATACCATATAAGGGCAACATCCTGGGAAGGAGAACACAACAGATACCATATAAGGGTGACGATAATTTAAATTTAGATCCTGGGAAGGAGAACACACCATATAAGGATAACGGTCCTGGGAAGGAGAACACGGCAGATGCCAAATAAGGGCGATGATAATTAAATCCTGGGAAGGAGAATATACCATATAAGGGCAACGATAATTAGATCCTGGGAAGGAGAATGCAGCAGATACCATATATGGAAGACGATAATTAGATTTATATACGAGGAGCATACATCATGTAACAAAGATGTTTGCGTCATGTTTCAGTAATGAAAGCTCTGAAACTAGCTATAGGAACGGAAACTCATTTTTACACTATAACCGATAACGCTGACGATACTTAGACAAGGAACATACGTTGCGCTATGCTTCTGTGTAATGAACAAGTAAACGAAGTAAGTAATGAAAACATTGAAACTAGGAACTGAAAACTCGCTATTGTATCTGCGTTGGCAGGTGGAAAAATAGATTGCACGAACAAAAGATTGAAAGTAAATAACAAACATAAAAAAATGTTGAGTAATGTTTTTTTGTCATCCTCGTTTATATAGTATCAATTGATTACCTGTTGGCAATATATCAATATTTAACAAGCATAATACGCTTAGCAAAACAGATCAATCTAACAAAAACTCAAGACTAGAAAAAATGACATGGGATGACAATAAACTTTTTCATTTCTAACTGAGCCCAAGCAATATCCTCCATGCTAAAAATACAGACATGTAGACATTAGTGGCAACCACAATTTTTTACCATTGGCAAAATTATGAATGGAGGAGAGAAGAGCAAACAGTTGGGATGTTTTCCCTCCCATATTACATTAACTGTGCAAACAAAGCTTACAATCTATTGACCGCTTGTGCAAACCAATCAAAACTGTCAACAAGAAGCCATAGGCGACAATTCTCCGTGAAGTTTTATATATTTCAACAAAATCCCAAGCGTCAACGCCAGACCTACTGTGCAGACATTATAATTAGGCAACGGTTAATACCACGCTCGTCCCCAGCGCCCGTGGAGAAGCCATAGGTTATAGATCGTGGCTTAGCCCAGGCTATGGAAAATAAACTTTCTTTAATGCAAATCTGTCGTTTTTGTTTTCTTTGCGCTATCTAAAGGGTTAGGATAACCTACTCTACTCTGGCGGTATTGTCGTGCGCGCTCGCTAGTACGTAACGTTACACGGCGGCCATCTGAATACATGTACACTGCATTCTTTCT